CAAAACAATGAGCTGAAAAACACTAAAAAGCTGGATGTGTGATAATACTCTGTGAGGTACACTTTTCACATTACACCATACATTACTACATCCATTACTAGATAGTCATTTGATCCATTTTTAATATAAAGATATCCATTATAACTGCTTTAAATATCTTTTGAGACTGTACTGGAGAGGTGGTGATTTATTTCTCTATTTTATACAGGTGCAATTGTGTTAGTGCATCCCCAGTATATTTGGAAAGCATATCAATAGTACAATGATGACATTATAGTTAATAGTTGGGGCAAATCAAAGTAATTTATTAGAATGATAACTGAAATTAAAATTTATCATGGGACTTTTTTGCCCCAAGTTGAACCAGGTTATGAAAGATGTAGGCATAAACAAAACAACAGCAATCTTAAAATAAATAAATAAATAAATAAACTTTTAACAATTGGTATAATTGTTGGAGCACTTTCTGTGAGACTTGATTTGGGGTAACATGGTACAAGAATTGTTAAGTATTTGTAAATGTTTAACTGCTATGTTCTGTCAATATTTTTGTGAATTGTTTGCTATATTGGTTCAGGTCTTGTTGCCTCAGTTATTTTATGTCTTGCTACTTATCTCTTTATGACTTTAACTTCCTCCACATCCTCTGCTCTCTCCTTTACTCTGGTCTCTATTTGCTGCTTACATATAACCCTGTTTACAACCTCCTGGCGGTACAGTCTAGACCAGAAGAACTTCTGCATGGGCACCTGGCGTGGGGCAGGGGTTGGCACACCCTTTCCAATGCCAAAGCACCCACCCAGCTCTTACTGATCCAACAGCCAGTAATACCTGCTCCCTCCGACACTACCCCAACTCCTTCATCCAGTCAAGCTGCACCTCCAGGTCATGTTAAGACAGGAGGCAGCCGCAGCAACCAGAACCACAGTAGCAAGAACTCATACCTGCCCATCCTGAATTCTTACCCTCGTATTGCCCCCCACCCCAGGAAGGAGAGCCATGAGGGCAAGGCCACCACATGGATGGAGGGGGTTAAGGAGAGTGGCAGTGAAGGCCAGAGTCGGAGCAAGAGAGTTTGCATTGAGGAACAGAAGAGGGAGGCTGTATCTACCACCAGCCACCTCCTGAAGCTGCAGCAGCATCAAAAAGAGGGTAGAGTCCATTCGTCTTCCCAGTATAAAGGCAGAGGAGAGCACAGCTCCTTTCCCATCCTATCTCACTCTCCACTACCCAGCCATGCAGCCTCCACCACCCAACACAAGTCCTACCACTGCCAACCGAACTCGGGCTCCGACAACGTGGGCTCACCTTCCATCTCCAGCTCCCAGACACCCTCACCGCCTTTTTTCTCTGACTCCCCCTCATCATCCTCTCCTCCCTCTTCATCTCCCTCTTCATCCACGGCTCACAGCCCATGTCGCCTGGCTCCAGACAGCTCGTCCACACGCCAACGCCGTTTCCTCAATACAGCCGAGATCCTGAACCAGTCGGGCCTGCTGGCCATCACGCTACGAACCAAGGAGCTGCTGAAGCAGAATGTCGCCACAGAGAGAGAAATTACCCAACTCCGTCAGCACACCCATCTCCTGTGCCAGGTAGCCCAGGCCAGCCAGAGCAGGTGTAACAATGGCTCAGATAGTCTCGACAAACTCCTCCAATCCATGACCGAGTCAGCCTCTTACCCCAACTTAGACTTAAATCAACTGAAAGCACTCAGCAGCTGCCATCAACAGAGGAAAACTAGAACTGAGGAAGACAAAGAGAAAGGTAACAACAAAAGAACCACAAAGACACACAATGACCTACTGCAGGTGGTGTCTTTACACACAATAGATGATGGAACATCACCACCCTCGCCACTGTTTGCCCCCTCACCAGACACAGGAGAAACACACCATGGTGACAATCCTCTAGACGCTGTCTCTGTTTCTTCTCCCAGGTCTGTTCCTGAACAGGGACGCAAACAAGAAGTCATGGCAAGAACTTAAGTGATCTCACTATGTTGCCAGAGAGCTCGACGCATAATAACTATCTCCTCTAGCTTCCTGTGGAAGAGGACATCGATCTGTAATGACTGCCAGGGAAATCTGGACTTAGCAATACAGGAGAGCATGGCTTTTTGAGCAATTTAACATGTATGTGAAAAATGAATAGAACTGGTTGAAAGTTTAGAATGATGGTTTTATGATTTAGATCTACACACATGATTTAAACTTGTGTATGACTGATATATTTTTTGCTGATGAGAGGTGCCCATTTTTCAAACATATTTTTTATTCATTCAGGTGGTGACATACACAGTCAGTGATGGATGTCCTACATGTGACAAGAACCAGTGAGACAACTGAAACATGTCTACAGAGAAATAGAAATCATGAGTCATGTTCTGTTATTATCATCACTCAGGGCTGTTGAGGAGATTTCCAGCATTTATAAGCTGGTAACAGTCTTTTGCTTTAATATTTTGCGTTTAAGATGTTGACAGAAGAAAATACCACTAGTTATTAGAGTGTTTTATGATTTCTTTGGCTCAGTTTTCACCAAATAATTTCAGTGTGCAAGTCTTTTAATGCAAAGAGGAAAACTCTCTGAATTCTTCCCTTTAAATACAAAATGCTGTCCTTACATACAGAGTGAACAGTCCATCACATGCCCAGTCCTGAGAACACCTCCTATCAGTTTCAGAGAAGAGATTACTGAATCATCCTTACGCTGTATCATATCAAATACTGACTTCCACATAGCACATTTTTTGTTTCTCATCACTTTTTGTATAATCTTAACCAAATTATCACTGTTTTGATGAAAATTTGTTATTATTCGACAGAATATTTTGATAATCACCATTTTATTTATAAAATCAACAATGATTCAAATTCAGTAATAAACATAATTTGTACAGATGCTCAGATAAACTGATGTGAAAGTGTGTAGTGTGTCATGTCATACCATATCATTTCATATGCCATCAGAGTTTTGCAAATTGTTGTGAATTTTGTGCCAAAGCAAATGTAAAATATTGTAATTAAAGTATATGTGGCAGTTCAGGTGAGATAACACAGTACCTGCTGTATTCACAATCCAAATTTGATTAGCTGACTTTGCAAAATTGAAAAAATATGACTGTTTTCATGCTATTTTTGACTGGGGAATTTTTAGTTTTTGTTACAAACAGATGTGTTCTGTTTTAATGTTGGTGCATGTTACATCATGTATGTCCACAGTCTAAGTGCACAGACAGTGTTATCCATTAGACCTCCAGTTGTGACTTTTTGAGATTTGGCTCAACTGTGAACCCTGTAACACCATAGACAGCAGTTTTTGTCTGTTTCACACCTGAATGGCTGACAGATCCGGGGATGTGTCTGCAGATCATGGTCTGGTACAAGCATGTCAAATTGATCATCTATACTTGCCCATGATCACTTGGGACATCCAGTCAGACATCCTGTCGGACTGACATTTTTACAGAGTTGTTGTATGGTCTTGCTCGGTAATGCATTATTGTGGATTATTTGCATTTTTTTCCTCAGTCATTTTTGAATGAGGAGTGCGTGCGTGTGTGTGTGTGCGTGTGTGCGTGCATGCGAGCGTGTAGAGGTCTGTAATGTATTAGCTTGTAGATATTAACACAAATTTAATTATAGATTTATTTAATTATATCTAGATTGATTGTAGATGTGGGACATTGATCTTCATTACTGTCTAATAAATCATAATCAGGGGTATGGCAAAAGAAATGGGCTCTTCACACGTTCTCAGATACAAACTTAAACAATAAATCTGCTCTGACTCATGAAGACATCTATTGAGATTGTGTCTTTCATCCTTTTGTTGTTAACTTTGGCATGAGACTTTCACATTTTCTCCTTGTGAGCCAGATGAAAGGGGCTTTCAGGAGACATCAGATGTCTTCAGCAGAAGTATTGATTGATGCCTTGATGCGTAGAGATAAGCAATGGACAATTACAACTACACACAATAATAAATGATGGAAAACATTGTTAACATTGTTATTGTTATTATTTGTCTTTGGCGATGGCAAGATCCGTCAACATTCACAAAAGGCAGGGCTTAGCTAATATTGGCCATAACTCATTAACCATTGGTCCGATCACCATAAAACTTGGTCCATATCTTCGGGCCGTGACAGGGACAGGGAGTAAGCCTACCAAAGCATTTTGATCCTGCCCTCTAGGGGGTGCCAGAAAATACAAAAAATACGTACCTCAGAATCTGGTGAACAGATTTTCATGAAAATTGGTACACGTATTGTGGAGGCGGGTATTAAAGAAAATCTGAAGTGCCATATTGATTGATGAAAGGCCTATTCATCAATATGTGCCATCTTAAGCCTTTGCTCAATTTGCAGAGAGCTGGAACAAGCCAGACACACGAAAATGGGTATCATAATGGATTGAACTGGAAATTCAAGATGGCCTCTCTATCTCAGCCCTCCTGGAAGCCTGGTCACTTTTAGGCACCCAACCTGATTTTTGTTTGGTTGTATGTTGTGTTTGGTTAAGGCCTCAGTTCCTGTACATGTAGTTTAAGTTGGCTCCATTTTCCTAGCACCCAACATCTACACCACACCACTGACTTCACATTTTTTAGTTTGTTTAGGTTGAATTGAGTTATCCTTAATAAATCTGGTTTCTTTAAATGGTCGATGTGTGGACCTCCCTTCTTGGTTATGCTCCTAAATGAGCCGGGCATAACAGGTGAAAACAGTAAAACATTTTCCTATTTTGACATTTATGAAAAAGACACACCTACAAGGTCCTACAACATCTTTTTTGTTTGAACTATGTGAACAAGTTGATTAATTAAAAGTTTAGGAAACAGGATATAACAAGTACAATAGTAGCACATATCAGTAGACTAATTGTCTAGTCTAAATTAAGTTATATTTAGGTGTGCCACCATTAAGTTATATTTATGTAAATAACAGGTAGCTTGTGATAGAAATAAATAAATACACTGACAGATAAATGTTGTAATAATGTGGATAATTTTATTTGACAAAGGAGAGTTTGTTCAAATAATTAAATGATTTAACATAAATGATTTGTGTATTTAGATTTAACCATAAAAGCAGAGCTATCCCTCTCCAGAACCTTTCAACATTTAGGTTCATTAGGCTCATTTAGCTGTCTTATGGCTCAACTTTTTTTTTTACTTATTTATTTTTTACCTGAATTCAATATTGTGTTTAGATTTCTTAAATAACTTCACCACAGCAAGGTACAACTGAATATTGAAAAGAAGAGAAGAAAGACAAAGAAGAAGAAAAACAAACCAACACAATAACAACAACAAAAAGGGAAAGAAATCCATTTAACAGCATCAAGATTTTCTGTAATCGAGAGTGGATTTCTTAGTTTGACACATTATGATAATATTCCACAGCACTCACTCTTAAAATGGTTCAAATACACTATTAAACCTTAATTTCATAATCAAGAATTTTTTTTTTTACATATGCAAACAAAGGGAGTAAAGGTAAAATAATTGTGACACACACAAACCTCACACATTTTGTATCTACTCTGATCTGCAGAAATACCTTGGCATTTAGAGTTACTTTACATTTTATTAGTATTAATGATTATTTTAAAAAGTGTCAAAAGAGTAGTTTGATATCACTTGAGCAATTCTTTTAAATTCGGAAACCTGACAATGTTCAGTGTTTCAGGTGTCTGCCAAAACAGAACTATTTCCTGAGACTGCGATACATACTAATGAAAAAATCCAAATCAAATGTTCAGATGTTATCTTTGCATTACAAGTGCTTACGTATAATACCTATTTGAGAAAAGTAGAAATGCTGTACTTTAAATTGATGCCAGAATCATCCAAATAGATATATTACAGAGACGTAGACCTGTCTCTTATTTCTCCTCTGGACACACTTGCTTGCAGCAGGCACAACAAGGGCGGCAACAACGACAGCAGTAATGCCAGAACTGACAGAGTAGCCCACTGGATGTCTCAGAAGATGTTTTAGTATCTTCTATCCTCATCTGCTCTTGATGTGTTTTGGTAGACACTTGTTGAATTGCCTGCACTGCTTCATTTTCTGTGGTTATATCCAACTGGAATGTCTGATTAGCTTTGTTGCTAGTTGTCGTCCTAAAAAGTTTTTTACGTTCTTTGATACGGAGTTTCTCAATCTCACTGAGCATCTGAACCTTAACTTGATGGAGCTCGGCATATTTTTCATCAAGTCTTTTGTGGTCTCTCTCCCACTCACATTTACATGTGTTCTTAGTAAGTACCTGTTCCAATGTTGTCTTCTCCAATGGTTCTTTTTCTTTCTTTGACCATGCTCTCTTCAAAAACTGATTGATCACCTTTACTCTTTTCTCCAGATTTTTTCTCATTTCATGACCACTGCACTTCATCTGATCAATCTCCTTCCGATTCATTTTAGTGTCCCACCAGATCTTTTGCAAACGATCTCTTTTTGACATTTTCTCATCTGTGAAATGATCTTGCTCTGTCGCCACCTTGGACAGTGTTACAAGCTTCTGTTTCAGTTCATTTTCCAGTTCTCCTTCTGCTACCATCAGCAGGCTATCCCTCTGGGTTTTCAAGTTTTTACCTTTTCTTTCACGATCACCTTTATCTTCTTTTAACTTCCACTGATGCTCTAAATCTTCAGTCTGGTTCGCAACATCTGACTGCAGGACATCCCTCTCACATTCAAACTCTTTATGTTTAGTCAGATCCTGTTTCTTGACAGAATGCTGTTGCAGGCATTTTTTCTCTACAACTTCAGTTTGTACTGCCTTGTCAAAAGTAATTGTTACCATGTATTTCTTCTCTCCTTGTATCAGGTCATGATAACCAGTGATTATATTTTTCAGTTCATCAAGTTCAGCACATTTGTCTTCCAATATTGAATTCAATCCAAGTAGAGCTCCACTTGTGCGCTTTAAGCTATCCATATTCTTTCTACAGTCTTCATGTGTACTTTGATTCACCTGTTTGAGTTTTGCTCTCAGACTACCCATAGAGTTCATAACACTGGTGAGCCAATCTTCTCTGATTGTTGGTTCAGACTGTTCTCCTTTCATTCGATTCTTTACATTTAAAAACATGTCCCTCTCTCTTTCTGTAGTTGACTTCATTTCATACAGTTGTTCTTTTTGTTGGTTCATGTCATCAAGGAGACAATAAATGTTTTGTTTCTGCTTCTGTACCTCAGTCTTTGTGACTTCCAATTTTTCTTTTTCATATTTTTTATCTTGTTTATCTTGTTCTAATGAGTAAGTTTGTTTCTGGTTATCAGACCTCATCTGCTCCAAGTCTGTTTTTTCTTTGTTTATCATCTCATTCATTCCGTCGAGAGCTTCTCTTTCTTCCTTCAGCCCTGCCTTCAGTTTGTCAAGATGTTGTTTTTCAGTCGTAAACTTTTGCTTCCATGGATTTTCAGTTTCCTCTTTCTGTATGGCTAGGCCTGAAAATATCAGACCTTCCTTTTTTCTCTCTAAAAGCTCAGAGTAACGAGCCATGTTTTCTTTCTGTCCATCAAGTTCTGATAACTTTTCTTCAATTGAAGTGTACACTATTAGCATATCTTCACTGGATTGTTGTAAACTTTGCATTTTTTGTTTGATGTCATCACTCAGTCTTTCATTCAGATGCTGAAGTTTTACTTGTGCACTTTCTATGACTTTCATTTTATTCATGACATGATGTTCTCTCATTATCATCTCAGACCTTTCCCTTTCCAGTTTGTCCTTTACATTCAAAATCATTTGTCTGTCTTTGTCAATGTCAATCCTCATTTGACTGAGAACTTCTCTCTCTCCACTCATGGTGTTCATGTTTGCTCCAACTTCTTCCTTTATCTTGTTGAGATTCTTCCTTAGAAGTTCCAGTTCTTTCCTTTCTGCCAGTACGCTCCTCTCACTGCTTTCCAGTTGTAGTTTTAGTCTTTTGATGGCGTCATCCTGTACTTCCTGTTCTTCTTGTTTAATAGTAATCTTGGTAATGGTATTTTCAAATTTGTTTTGTTGTCTCTGAACCTGAAGGGTCAGATCTTTAATGTTGATTTTCTCTCTGTTAATCTCATCTAACAGTCTCTCCGCCTGTTCGTTCTTCTTTTGTAGCCTAGTCTTTGTGACTTCCAACTTTTCTTTTTCGTCCTTTATATCTCGTTTATCTTGTTCTAATTTCTCCGTTTGTTTCAGTATATCAGACCTCATCTGCTCCAAGTTTGCTTTTTCTTTGTTTATTGTATCACTCACTCTGTCCAGATCTTCTCTTTCTTCCTTCAGCCCTGCCTTCAATTTGTCAAGGTTTTGTTTTTCAGTCGTAAACTTTTGCTTCCAAAGATCTTCAATGTCCTCTTTCTGTATGACTAAGCCTGACAATATACTTATCAGACCTTCCTTTTCTCTGTGTAACAGTTCAGTGTAACAAGCCATATTTTCTTCTTGTCCATCAAGTTCTGACAACTTTTCTTCAATTGAAGTGTACGCTATTAGCATATCTTCACTGGTTTGTTGTAAACTTTGCATTTTTTGTTTGATGTCATCACTCATTCTTTCATTCAGATGCTGAAGTTTTACTTGTGCACTTTCTATGACTTTCATTTTATTCATGACATGATGTTCTCTCGTTGTCATCTCAGACCTTTCCCTTTCCAGTTTGTCCATTTCATTCGAAATCATTTGTCTGTCTTTGTCAATGTCAATCCTCATTTGACTGAGCACTTCCCTCTCTCCACTCATGCTGTTCATGGTTGCTTCAACTTCTTCCTTCATCTTGTTGAGATTTTTCCTTAAACGTTCCACTTCTTTTCTTTCTGCCAGTACGTTCATCTCACTGCTTTCCAGTTGTTGTTTCACTTTTCTGATGGTGTCATCCTGTACTTCTTGTTCTTCTTTTTTTACATTAATCTTGGTAATGGTATTTTCAAGTTTGTTTTGTTGTCTCTGAACCTGAAGGGTCAGATCTTTAATGTTGATTTTCTCTCTGTTAATCTCATCTAACAGTCTCTCCGCCTGTTCGTTCTTCTTTTGTAGCCTAGTCTTTGTGACTTCCAACTTTTCTTTTTCGTCCTTTATATCTCGTTTATCTTGTTCTAATTTCTCCGTTTGTTTCAGTATATCAGACCTCATCTGCTCCAAGTTAGCTTTTTCTTTGTTTATTGTATCACTCACTCTGTCCAGATCTTCTCTTTCTTCCTTCAGCCCTGCCTTCAATTTGTCAAGGTTTTGTTTTTCAGTCGTAAACTTTTGCTTCCAAAGATCTTCAATGTCCTCTTTCTGTATGACTAAGCCTGACAATATACTTATCAGACCTTCCTTTTCTCTGTGTAACAGTTCAGTGTAACAAGCCATATTTTCTTCTTGTCCATCAAGTTCTGACAACTTTTCTTCAATTGAAGTGTACGCTATTAGCATATCTTCACTGGTTTGTTGTAAACTTTGCATTTTTTGTTTGATGTCATCACTCATTCTTTCATTCAGATGCTGAAGTTTTACTTGTGCACTTTCTATGACTTTCATTTTATTCATGACATGATGTTCTCTCGTTGTCATCTCAGACCTTTCCCTTTCCAGTTTGTCCATTTCATTCGAAATCATTTGTCTGTCTTTGTCAATGTCAATCCTCATTTGACTGAGCACTTCCCTCTCTCCACTCATGCTGTTCATGGTTGCTTCAACTTCTTCCTTCATCTTGTTGAGATTTTTCCTTAAACGTTCCACTTCTTTTCTTTCTGCCAGTACGTTCATCTCACTGCTTTCCAGTTGTTGTTTCACTTGTCTGATGGTGTCATCCTGTACTTCTTGTTCTTCTTTTTTTACATTAATCTTGGTAATGGTATTTTCAAGTTTGTTTTGTTGTCTCTGAACCTGAAGGGTCAGATCTTTAATGTTGATTTTCTCTCTGTTAATCTCATCTAACAGTCTCTCCGCCTGTTCGTTCTTCTTTTGTAGCCTAGTCTTTGTGACTTCCAACTTTTCTTTTTCGTCCTTTATATCTCGTTTATCTTGTTCTAATTGCTCGGTTTGGTTCAGGATATCAGACCTCATCTGCTCCAAGTTTGCTTTTTCTTTGTTCATCATATTATTCACTCTGTCCAGATCTTCTCTTTCTTCCTTCAGCCCTGCCTTCAATTTGTCAAGGTTTTGTTGTTCAGTCGTAAACTTTTGCTTCCATAGATTTTCAGTTTCCTCTTTCTGTACGACTAGGTCTGACAATATATTTATCNCTCTTCCTTCAGCCCTGCCTTCAATTTGTCAAGATGTTGTTTTTCAGCTGTAAATGTTTGCTTCCATAGATTTTCAGTTTCCTCTTTCTGTACGA